CTCTAATAATCAGTTCAATTTAATGCGGTATTAGCAACTAGCATTTCCTGCCGGGAACGGTGGTTTCCTATCCCTTTCATTTACTCTAATATCTATGATATTAGCAAGAGTAGATAATAGAAGAGAGTGTCCTACTGTGATATACCGCCTGCTTCATCACTGCGTAGAATTGAAGAGTCACATTCAGGATATTTCCGTATTTTTATTGAGTAGTTATAGTTATTGCTAGTTATTTTTAAATAACTACTCAAGAATACTGAAAATAACCTGAATGTGACTCTTCAATTCTACGCGGTGATGAAGCAGACCCTATAGCCAGTAGGACACTCTCTTCTATTATTATCTACTCTTGATATTAGCATAGATATTAGAGTTTACTCTAATATCTATGATATTAGGCAGTAGTCTGCCCCGCCTCTTCGTTGCGCGGGTGGCGCCACCCCCGCGCAACGAAGAGGCGGGGCCAGACTAATTAGGCACTAATAGGCAGTGGATACACTCTCTGATATGTCAGGGAAGCAGTAGAGCATTATGTCATCAAGCAATTCTTCAAGAGCCTACTATTTTTTATTCTGGCAGGGCATTTGTATGTGCAGTGTTTCTGTTACAGATATGAGCCAAAGTGCTGAGCTGCAGAGACTGTGTGAAAAGCTCCAACATGCCTGCTACAAAAGGTGAGATCATTATGCACAGCTTTATTACAAAGTAGCATCAATACAGTAGATTGGGCAGAACTATCAAAAAGGTATACCACACGAAACTTTTACTATTAAATGGCTCAGTTTATAGTTCAGATCAAAGAATGACTCAAAACAATTTATTCTGTGTTTTCCTGGTATAATGCTCATAAATAACATTTTCCATTGAGTTTGTAAACAGTTCCAGGAATTTAATTCATCATGGACTTATAATTTATGACTGATAGACTTCACCATAAAACCTGGCTCATTCATCATTTTAATACGGTTGGGGTTAGATTTTTTGAGCTCATTTTGAACAACTGAGTTTTAACAAGCCATCATGTCTGGTTGGGAGCATGGAATATGTGGTTGCTTTGATGACTGCACAATATGTGAGTTACATTATTACAATGAGATTTTTTATGTATTACATAGGCTTGCTGTCATTTCTTTGTCCTTGCATTCAAGTTTATCGCAATGCTAATGCAATCCCAAATGGAGAGCATGGCTGCTGTTTTCTCTGCGGAATGTGCACATTTCTTAGCCTTTGCTATGATCGTGCTGCACTGCGTGGCGATATTCGTGATCATAAGGGAATTGATGGAACTCATTGTGAAGACTGGCTTTATTCATACTGCTGTTTTTGTCTTAGTTTAGCTCAAGAGTCTCAAGTTAGTCTTTGTAGCTAT